TTTTATGCAGGTAGAACCCTACTTAATAATCCAATTCACATGCTGTTAAATCTCTGATTATTTTAATCATGTGTCATGTATTACTTCACCATACATGATGCATTTCATCTCATTGCTTGACATTTTCCATTGCTTGTGGAAATGATGTTGTTTAAAGATGCTGTAAGTGATGTTTGATATCCTGCTAACCTTTGTCAGACTACTGGTACAAGTATGGATTCAACAATGTGTTTACACGAAATTCTAAAATCTGAAAACTATGCTTTGTTTTTTGCCTAAAAGCGACCGTGTTGTCAAAACGACCCCGTTCACACAAATACGCAACAAGAACAAAAAATGCTGCTGCCAGGCCAGTAGTTGGCGATGTCACTCTGTAATGCTCATGCACATGACGCCACCATTTCAAAAAGTAGTTTACATATTCAGGCCCCCAAAACACCATTGACATAAATAAAATAGCCCAAATTAAATAAATAGCCAAAACGCATAAAAGGAAAAGGTTTTCGTTTGTGTACAGATAACAGCATTATCAAAACTTTCCTGTTTACATGGATTCGCAAAAAACAACGAAAAAATCTGTATTACTGGTAGGCCTATGCATGCAGGCCAGTAGTTGTACAATATGCATGCACATGACGTCACCGAGACAATAATAGTAGTGTTTTCAAAAGTTTGTGTTTTCAAGTACCCAAAACACTGTTGTCGTATAAATGAACGGCCAAAACGCATAAAAAAATCTGTTTTTAGTTGAAAACAGTGTCGTGTAAATGACCCCTAAAATACACTGTCTACGTCCACAACCACACCCCCAAAGACATGTCAACACACCAAAGAATTTCCAAGGTTGCTGATTGGCTAAAAAAAAGTGCAGGCCATGCTCAGATTTTTCTTTTACTGTTTACAAAACCTTAGAGCTGTCACAGAGACAAATGTGATTTCTCAGAACACCTTTCAAAAGTTTGGGGTTAGTACGAATGAATACTTTTATTCAGCAAGGACATACTAAATTAAATTGATCAAAAGTGAGAGTAAAAAACATTTAATGTTGCAAAAGATTTCTATTTCAAATATGTTCTTTTATCAAAAAACAACATCTTCAAAAATATTGAGCAACATAGCTGATTTCAACATTCACAGTAACAGTCATGTTTTTATAAGCACCAAATCTGCATAATTATTTCAGACACTGAAGATTGTAGCACAGCCCTAATTATAATATATTTACAATTTATACAATTTTTTTTTTTATCGGGCAAAACTTTATGCATAATGTTAAAAGAATTGCTTACAGCAGCTTTAACATGGCCTTTTCAAAGTCCCTGTTCATATTTCATTCATTCATTTGTGCATTTATTTATTTTTATATTTCGCAGCACCATGATTCCAATTAATCCCTTAAAGGGAAAGTTACCCAAAAATTAAAATTAGCCCATGATTTACTCACCCTGAAGCCATCCTAGTTGTATGACATTCTTCTTTCAGACGAATACAATTGGAGTTTTTTGAAAAAATGTCCTGGCTCTTCCAAGCTTCAAAATGGCAGTGAATGGCTGTATGTCTTTGGAAGCCCATTAAATCTATTCATGATTTAAGTGCTCCACTCATCTCCGGGGGTTAATAGAGACCTTCTGAGGTAAAGCGATGCCTTTGTGTAAGACAAATATCCATATTTAAAACTTTATCGGCCAAAATAGCTTCCGGCAGATGGCCGTACGCATCAATTTACGCCAAAAGCGTAACACTTGAACTTGACGCACAATGTAATGACGGCAATTGGAGCCTCTTTCGCGGTTCAAACTAACAAGACTGGTCAACCGTGTTCGTCATTACATTGTGCGTCAAGTTCAAGCGTAAATCGCTGCATACAGTCGTCTCCTGGAAGCTAATTATTTTAGTCAACAAAATTTTAAAGGGGTGGTATAATGCACTTTTCACAAGATGTAAAATAAATATCTCATGTCCCCAGAGTGTGTATGTGAAGTTTTTGCTCAAAATACCCTGCAGATATTGCAGCATTTTAAAGTTGCCAGCTTTTGAGGGGGAGCAAAAACGCACCGTTTTTGTGTCTGGCCCTTTAAATGCAAATGAGCTGCTGCTCCCGGCACACGGGGCGGAGCTTCAACAGCTTGTGCATTAGCAGCTCCGATTACGCAGATGTACTTAAATGTCAGAAACTGTTCTGCCTTTTATGTTTAAACCGGCATCAGACAAAGATGGAGATACTCAACAAGAAGTGACAACACGTAGAATGCAACAGGGCGTCTCTGAATGGTTAGTTGATAAATTTATGTTGCTGAACTATCTTTAATTAGCATATTCTGTCAGGATAATCTATAAAATCGCTCGTTATTTAAAGAGTAACTAAACACTAAACCAACTTTTTTTTAGTTAATGATCTGTAAGAATGGATCTTTACTAATACCAGTCATTGATTCGAGTAACTTTTTTGGCATTTGTTTATAAAGTGTTCTATTTCTACAATATATGGTGTAAAAACGTCTTAGTGCTGCCCTCTTCAGGTTGAACGGTGGCTACTGCAGTTGAATTTTCCTATTGGATGTTTGCGGTGGTACGTGACACAGCGGTTGTTGGTGACGTAGGCAAGTTCCATACAAAGAGATGCGTCTCAGGTGCATGTCCCCCTCCGCTGGGCTCTGCCCACTTTTCCAGCATTTTTCAAATATTGCCAGTGGGTGGAGTCAGGCTCTGACCAGGGGTTTAGTTACCATTTAAATATATTCTATTGCAAGTGAAAAGACGGATGCTACAGTTTGAGCTGACTCACAAATGTGCTCTTCTACACTAACTCTTCCTCATCTCAACATTGATTGCGTGTTCCCGGGGGCAGAGTTTATGTAAATTATAGGGTTGGTAATGTCACTAACCCGTGAGGAATGTCGTGTAGTCCATACCAGCCGTTTATTGTAGTCCTTAAAAAAAACGATTTCTTTAAAAGCAAATATCTTCCTTTGCTTTGAGCGTTGTAACTTTGCAGATGTTGTTTATGCTTAAACAGCAACATTGCTCACTAACTAAAGTTAGAAAAGTGGAATCATATCAACCACCCTTTTAAAAATTGATATTTTTCCTACACGAATACATCGCTTTACTTCAGAAGGCCTTTATTAACCCCCGGATAGAATAGATGAGATTTGATGGACTTCCAAAGACATACAGCCATTCACTGCCATTATCAAGCTTGGAAGAGACAGGACATTTTTTAATATAACTCCGATTGTGTTCGTCTGAAAAAAGATTGTCATATGCATCTAGCATGGCTTAAGTGTAAGTAAATCATGGGCTAATTTTCATTTTTGGGTGAATTATCCCTTTAAACACTTTGATTTGCTGCCCAGAGCATTAAGAAACACCAACAGAAATACAGTCTACATGCACTTAGTCAGAGCGCTAATGCATGTAAACGTGTCTTGCTTTTCAGTTTGTCACCCAGCCAGAGCCCCATCATCCTGAGTCCATGCAGTCCAGCCAGCCCCTGCAGTCCTTTACAATCTCTTCATCCCTGGAGGTAAGACAGCCGCTTCACAAGCCAAAAACATTACATAAACCTGCGCCGGTCCTGCAGAGAGGCAGAACTGTCTCCAGTTCGTCAGCATGACCAAGACATCTTTTGATTTTTTTTTTATACTCATATCTAAATGTAAAGCTCATGTCATATCATGTGTATGATTCATGACATCATACACATATGGACACCAAAAGCCCCATACATGTTTTGCCCTTGTACATTGCACCCGCATGACTGTCTACTAGCTGATATTAATACTATGTATTTTAAAATCCCATTCATTAAGACAATATATTATGTAGTATGAGAGAATTATTTAATTATAATTCGAAATCACATGTAATATATATATTTCTTACTATATGAAACAGGCTTGACTATAATGTATATTTACATTATATAGTCTATTCGATTATCTATTTTGACTACCTCTCGTGAAGATTTTATGTCAATGGACCAAAAGGTTAGGTATCTTAACGTGCAACAATGTAGAAGATTTCTATGACAAAATAAAAATATGATAAATGATAAACAAAAAGCTTTTATTTAAAACTGTTAAATGTGTTACATAACCCAATTCCAAAAATAAAGTACTTGTAATTAGATTACATATTACACTTTAAAACCTTTGTAATCAGACTACAGTTACTTTTTATTTTTTACAATTACAATACATGATTATATTCATACAATGCAGTAGGTCTAAATCTTTCATAATTGATTGATTCTCCCTAATTATTGTTTTTCATATTTTAAATTTTTATTTCTTAAAAAAAGCATAATGCTTATATATATAGAAAGTCTTCTAGTTTTGTGAAATTGCACACAGAGACCCCAGCCTCTAGTCAGTTGGCTTAATTTAGTCTACATGGAAAATGGAGATGCCACAACGCATCTGACCAATGGATTTACAAAAATATGTTTACCTTTAATGAGTGTTTTCTCAACATTGTATATTGAATTATCTCCCGACAAACACATACATTATTATTTGAGTTATCACCAAGTACTTCATTTGTCTTTGGAAGGCTTTTGTCTTTCAAACACATTTTTATAACTAATGTCTATTGTTTTAATTAGGCCTATGTATTTTATTTATGTTTTTACTAGCTTTTCATTTAACTCACAAACGTTTCCCTCACGAACCATCAGATTATATTACCTCAAATGTGTAATGTATTGAATTATATATTATTTATTTGATGCTCTATTATTATGACCAGCTCGTGCTGATTAAACGTCACTGGTGACACATTTACGTTAGGTCATACCATCTTTAAGTTTCGCTGTTGCTTCATCTTTTTCATTAAACGTGTAAAATATATATTTGGAATGTGGAAACTAAATATTTTTTCGACAAATAACAAAAGTCTTGTTTATGCTATCGGTCAAAACGTTTTAGTCAGAGCCTCTGCTTAGACTTCTCTCCCCATCTTCGCAGCGAGATGGTACATCCCAAGCGTATCACCCGGCAATCAATCGACAACACCAGAGAAACAACATCAACACAGCATCTTCTTAGATCTTACTCTCAAACATGGGCTTGCTCCTGTTATCCGATGGAGGTCGCATTTTGAAAAGTATTTAATTAACTTGCTGCTAGCTCTAGACGATATCGGAAGGTGCTTTCAACAGAATGTGAACGTCTAAACTTTTACGAAGTTGCACGGCGAGTCCAGGCAGGCAAACAGCAGCGTGCCACACAAAGAACAGAGATGAACCGCTGCGAGTCAGACGCAGTCTCCCGTACGAGTCGGACTCTTCATTCGGGTTCTGTTGCTCGGTGTTGCTTGGACGGTTGAGACTCTGGTCGTGCGATTATGTCTGATCCAAGTTCCTGGAGCGCGTTGCCTGGCAGCAGCAAAGCTCATTTTGTTACGGGCGTGATGCTCAAGCGATCCAAAAGGTAACATGCAACATTAAACGAGATGACACATTGGAAAGCTTTGAACTTGCACAACTTTTAGGCGTTTCTTGGTCGATTAATGTAACGTTTATGCTGTTGTTGTGTCTCAAAACAGTGTGCGTCGTAGTATCGTGTCTTCAAGTATGACGCACTATAATAGAGTAAGGATTTGAAAACTGTTGGCTTGGCTGTATCTAAACCTTGATTTCGAGCTATCGATGGTCGCATATATTTATGCATTGATAAACCTCTGTAGCTGCAGACTAGCTCGAGATGAAGGTGCAATGCATGATTCTGCAAGAGCTTTTGGGAGAGAAAGGGACACAGTACAACTTAAAGGTGCAATGTATAAAAAATTGGAGCATTTATTAAAGGAGCGTTTGAAATTTCTTACCATTACTGACACCAGTGGCTGATAGAGAAACTGCAGCCAGTCACTCTGTGCGCACTCTCGTTGGCGGCTTTTTTTTTAACTTAAGAGTTTCAGTGGGTATCTGGATTGTGCTGGAGGCTGGTCGCTTCTTTACGTCCGCAGAGTCCAACACTACTGCTAGCGATTGCCACTGCTTACTAATGGCTGCCGTATGAATGAAAGCCCAAAAGTAGAAGAGAACGCGTGACGTCATATTTTGTGAATTTTCACGTCAATTCGGACCCGACTCCTTCACAAACAATTGAGACTACAGGCTGATAGAGACAACTGTGGTGGACAGTCAAGGTGTTATTCTTTCTAATACATTATGGTTGGCTCATAAATGTACAAACGAAGACTCTATCTTAAAGATGTTTTTAAAGTAAAAACCTACTCATAGCACCTTCAACAGAAATGCAATGTTTTCAGTGGTTTATAAAGAACTTCCTTAATAAACCGTAATGTTTTTATTACCTTAGAATGAGACATTTATATCTACATGACTGTGGGCACCCACTTCTATGAAGTTTGACATATTGTGTCATGTTTACCGTAGCTGACGGCGAACAAACAGCGCTACAGTTTCGTCACTACCTTGAAAGAGAAGCATTAGAAAGCTAGAAGCTAGCCATAGTGATTTTTTTTCCTTGTCAGTGGTGTAAAATATGTAGTTGGATTGTTTCATGTAACTTCGTTCCTCTCCCTTGCTATGTTATGGCTTTGGTATGTGGGGATAAATGTGCTGGTTACGTTCGTGAGACAGCCGAGTAGTCCTTTTGTCATTGACCGTAAAACAGTATGTTACAGGAATCGATCTTGGAAGAATTATAAGTCGATGGCAAAGAGTTTTCAAAATCAGAGAAAAAAGCCTATTGTGTGTAGTAAATGGTGTCTAGGGGATGCGGAGGCGCACGCGCTGTTACAATCGTCGTTTTTGCCGTGCGCACCTTTGCTCTCATGCGGACTTGTTGATTTAGAAAAAAATATATAGTTGCTTTGTTTCACGCTGTATTATTTGCTATGTGGGGAGAAATGTGCTGGTTACGTTTTTGAGACAATCAGCTGATTACTATTATTATATTATATATTAAGACCCTTGATCATCACCTGACCATGGCTTTGTAAACTTTATCCATGATGTGGTTTATAATGGACTGTGGTATAGAAACAGTGACAATGTTACACACTCTTGGCTTGCTCTGGCTATTCTCTGCTGTCTCAGACGACGATATGTTTGTCCCGTTTTAGCCACCGTAGCTTCTTCGAAAGGGAGGGGTGAGCAGTGGGCTGAGCCCTTAGTGCACCTTTAGCATGTCGCTAAAACCTACACACTTCTCCTTTAACTCTTTTGGGTCATGCAAATGACAGCTGTGTTAAAGGACACAATATCTGATGTGCAGATGTTTCAGAATTACTTATAGATTTAATTTTAAAAACAAAAAAAAGCAGCATTGTTGTAACACTATTGAGGGTGTGCTGATCATTAAATCCTTTGTCACTTTCTTTCATTAACTTTGCCGTTGGCAATCAAAACTGGGTTGGATTATGATGAAAGGTTTTTAATAATCCCTCTCTTCTTGTTTGTGTGTTGCAGCTGTCGCAGCAGTAATAGAAAGAGCCTTGGTGTTGGAACGCCATCGCCCACCCGCCCGCTTTCTCCTCTGTCCGCCCACACAGGTAACACTCGCCCCGACACATTACACTCGTACTAGGAAAGCTGTCATTGAGCTGGCCTGTCACCATTGAGTTGTTAATGTGGCTGGAGTAACATAACCCTGTACACTCCTTCACCCTCATGTCTCTTACTATCCCAGCAAGGGTTTACTTTTAATTAAAGGGATAGTTCACCCAAAAAATGTAAATGTGAAAAATCAGATCCTGTATATTGTTGTGCAGAACCCAACGAAGATTTTTAAGAGCCTATAGACCTTATGCACCAGAGAAACGTGGGCGCCGTAATCATTAGAATATTGTCTTTGAACTTCCAGTTTCGCGGTTGCTCTGTATATTTCTATGGCATCGCTGTCGAGGAGTAATTAGCTGGTGAAGTGGATTTACTTATTGTAGAGTTAACAAAAGTTATCCTGAGCATTGTAATGTTTATCATAAGCATTGTAAAGCAGATGTCTTAACAAATGTCGACCGGGAAATTATTTATGAGCAGTTCATTCATACCTATGCAAGATCGCTGTGAAAATGCAGACCGGAAGTCAAAAGACAACGAGCGCAGCACTGAAAAGGGGCGGGGCTACATAAGGTCTATATGCAGCTCTTTTCTACACAACAGCAGTTTGTTAGTTACCTTGTCTATCAAATTCAGAAATGCACAAAGTAGTTCTTATGAATTTGCACTTTATGTCAAGTCTTCTGAAGCCGCATGATAGCTTTGTCTAAGAAAAAGACACAAATTTTCCACTAATAGTCTTCCCCTACAATGACCATATCATATAGTTAAGTGACTTAAACTCAGGAACTGGATCAGTAGCAGAATCTCAACTCAACTTAAAGGTGCAATACCTAAGATTTTTGCATTAAAATATCCCAAAATCACAAGGCCAGTGTTATATATTTAGTAAAGATGATAACTCACAATATTCCAAATGTTTCAAACAATGTTTAAATCGTGAGAAAATTGAGATTTTAACCAAGGAAAAGGAACGTGTCAGCAGGGGTGAGCTGGGAGTCGCGAGTCAATCGCGTCATATCCGCTTACCTCGGTTTCCGCTCTTACTACGTGTAGTCCTGGACAAATGCGGTAGTTGTAGTTGTGCGTTAGCGTCTATCAAACGACAGCTTGTTTCGCGCATTTGTTATGGAATGGAGCACATATATTCTTTTCATTTATTCTCGGAATGTGAACTGTTGGCTGTAAAGGGGGTCGCACACCGGAAGAGAAGCGCCGCACCACATTAGGACAACTCCGCAGTAACGTTATCGAACACCGGACGCGCACTTTCTCATCAGTGCATGGCCAGCATATTGTTATGTTTAATGACAGAAAATGAAGATAATGTCTGTTCTATGTTATTGTACTGTACAATTAAGAAAACTTTACCTCAGAGAATCCGTTCACAGAATGAATTGAGAATCTCACCTGAAAAATCTAATAATAATCAGTAATTGTCATTCAAGCAGCTGATTTCTGTAAATCACTGCAAAACTAAATGCATATTGCAGCATAGGGCAAAGTCAGGATCCATTAGCAACGGTTTGAGGCAAAAATAATTACAATTTTATATAAAACTATGTAAATGGCGCTCTGTGGCGCAGCAGGGTTTTGAACACGGTCCTGAAACGTTGCTGGGCGCCGCGGACAGACGCGAATGGCGCCGCCGGTGTGTGTACACTTATAGATAGCCTAATAACGCGGCGCTGCAGCTTCTCGTCCGGTGTGCGACCCCCTTAACGTTAATTTTGTGAAACTGTAGCTGTGGTTGAATACTTATACGACATGAAAAGATGTGTCAAATGTACATTGCAGACATCCCAAGTCTCCTGGATGTTCCGGGAGTCTCCCGCATATTGATAGCGTTTCCCTGATGCCCGCAAATTAGTTCAAATCTCCCGGGATATAATGTTAGAGCGAGACATACTGCGCGCATAACATACAGCGCGCTGCGCGTGGACTGTACAGAGGGGGAGACTTTGCGAGTGTGCCTCGCGAACGCGAAAGTTAGCCTTCCCTCCCACCCCCACAATCTTGTTATCGAAATATACCTCCCGGAAATGAATTCTTGCAGGTTGGGATTAGGGCTGCAACAACTAATCGATAAAATCGATTATAATCGATTATGAAAATCGTTGTCAACGAATGTCATTATCGATTAGTTGGTCTGATTACGTCACAGGGATTGTTTACATGCTACATGCGCTTCATGAGGCACACACGCAGTCTCTCTCCCTCGCCGGTCTGTGCGCAACACGGACGGTTTGGAGCACATTATCTTCTGTCTCGCATGCGCGCTCTTGATTCCGTGAGTTTGAACTAATTTGCGGGCATCAGGAAACCGCTATCAATATGCAGCATACACGAAAGTCATTCACCTTTCGGCAAATTCGCCGTTTTGAAACCAAAATAGGTGACCTACGTTAATCGTGTATACTTTATGAAGCCATACTGTAGTATAATGTGAGATAGAAATGTATATTTAAGTCATTAAATTCAAGTTAACCTAAGCTTTCCCTCTACTGCGGCTGTCAGTCATTCTCTATTCGGTGTTCAAACAGCGCGTCGCGTTACAACAGTTAACATGATGAAACTCTTTCCAAGATGATTCAATGTTATTATTATAATTGATCCGTAGATAAAGGTATATGGTTTCGTAATATAATGACTATCTTGCTAGACTCACAACACTAGAGTAGACTCGGCGCACTATAATTGTTCTTCACGTGCAGTAGCCTAACTGAAATGTAAAACTCTTAAAAGAAAAGGCTTAATAAACTATTGCAAAGAGACTGTATAATACACAGTCAATATTGCTTCCTCACTAAACAGCTGTGCATCTGATTTTTTCGATGTTTTTCATGAATGTATAACAATACAAAGAGCAATGTGTAACGTTTTACCAGAGATAGTGCTACACTTATTGTCTCTTATTTTTTCCCCACTAAGGAATGTTTTTTTCACTAAATGTTCAGATTTTATAAAATTATTGTGCACTTGTGATTTTTCTAGGCTAAGTTTTTCTGAGTTATCCACTAATCTAGTTTACAATAGCATTTTTGTCATAGGTTATGGTCATATATATTTTTTTTATTTGTTGTTTTTCTATATAATGAAGTTGTCTGTATTAAGAAGATTGTTTAACACACAAAAGAGTGTGGTTTTTAGGGTTTTATTTAGTTATAATAAACAAAAAAATGAAATAAATTTTTTATCCGATTAATCGATTAATCGAAAAAATAATTGTCCGATTAATCGATTATCAAAATAATCGTTAGTTGCAGCCCTAGTTGGGATAACTGACATTAAATTGATTTTTTATTTTTATAAAGTTACCAAGGAGGACCAGCCACGTCAACACCTTGCAAGAGACCTGCCCCTTCAAACCCTCTCCACCATAGCTTCGTCCAGTGACTCGTACAGTAACATCTGTGATAACTAATTTACTTTTAAACCTGACTTTTCTTGCGCGGTTATTTCAGTTTAATGAAAAACAAGCATGTCATTAAACGCAGCGTTTATAGAAATCGAACTTTACCTCATCCATGACAACTAATTTTCGATTCCCGTCTGACTGATTTATCCACGGTGGAGTTGAAAACAACAGTTCCCATCATTCCGCGTTCCTCCACGTCGTCATCAAGCAAAGCCATTGTTGTTGTTTTGAATGTAGCGCCCTCTAGCGGCATCTAAATCTTAGGTATTGCACCTTTAATGCTAAATAAGTATGCCCTTTAAGTTTGAATTAGTAGGAAGCCTGTAGTATCTTCAAATTACAGTGCTTTCCACCCTCATAACCCCCTGAGACAAGAGATTTATGTATTTTTTTTTTTTGTCTAGAAAAAATCCTCAGATGACGCAAAAAATCATCATTTTGCGTCATCGGAGGACTTTTTGGCCAGAGGCTAAAGACTTCCATTACCAGTACCAGCTTGACTCGGCTGGACAGTACCGCCACAAATAGTACTCGGTCGTCATAGCGACGTCTTTCATTCCTCGCTGCCCTAGTAAGTTCTCGCTGGATCCTCTCTTCGACAACCAAACAAAGGATAGTCTGCACCTCCTCGTTTGACCATGGCGTATTCTTTTGAGTTGCCATAATAATAATAATAGTAGTAAGTTTAGAAACTATCTCTGGCCAAACTATTTAAAAATGGCGGGGATATTCTGGATACTCCATCTGGCGCGTGCAATGATGACGCAGTGAATGGTGCTGATTCTCTCCGACCAATCAGCAGTCGGCATTTTTTTCACGTCACATTTTAGTACCAGCTCAGCTTACCTTAGCTCGCTCAGAACCTCGCCGGAGGTGATACTGAAAAAAGTACCCGAAAGCAGGTACAGGTACGACTTTTACACAGTGGAAAACCAAACAAAGGCGAGCTGAGTCGATCTGGTACTGTGTAGTAGAAAAGCGCCATTAGTAGGAGAAAGCTGAGTTCTAGGGGTTACCATCCTCTTTTTCCTTGACATGTCCAGCCGTCGAGATCGTACAATATTGTCCTGGATTCAGCTTTTGCTGTCTGCAGTCGCCATTCATTGTTTACATGCACACCTTTGTTTCAGTCTAACTGGTGAATCTGAATGTAGTGTTTACATGAACGCTAAACAAGTGATCGGTTGATGTGCGTTTTAACATTGCTAAGAAAATTCCCGCTCCTCCCTGAGAAACGAGACCGGTGCGTCTTCCAGGTGTCGCTCATCAGTAAATCACGCCACCGGCCACGCGCCGTTCTCACACGGTCCTAGTCTCGTTATTCTCGCCACAGTAAACATAATGAATGGCGACTGAAGAACGCAAAAGCCGAATCCCGGACATTTTGGGCGATCTCGAAATCCCGGGCAGACTCATCATGGAGACTCGCTAGTAGCTTAGACTTGTTTATTTACTGTGCTCTGTATCTGGTAGGCGTGGCCTCCTAGGGCAGCAAAGCAAGTGCATTCTGGGAGTTGTTGTCTTTCATCCACATGAGTCAAAAATAAATTTTCTGGCTTTTCTCAGTCTAGAAAGCGCCAAATTCCAAAATAATTTCACATTTTTTCTGCATAAACAATCCATTTTAAATATATATTCATCTTTCCAGAGGTGAAGTATCCCTTTAATGATTTGTTTACAAATCAACTAATGATTGGTTTACGAACCAATGGAACAGTTTGCTGAACAATCTGCTCACATTTAACTTTAAGTCATTAAGTAGAGCTAACCAATTATTTAATATTACATCTTGGTGTAATTTTGGCACGTTGTAAGAGGATTGCATGAACAAACAGAACAATGGCTGTTTTTTTTTCCTAACACAGACAAACATGTAGTCCCGTCCAAAAACATTTGTCTTTGGTGAAGTCAATTTTGCCAAATGGCTGTTCAAACTAAGAGTTTTGATTGCACTGTTGTCTCTAAACTTTTTTTTAGAGTAATTTTTTCAACCTTTAAAAATTTTATTTTTTCAACCTTAAAAAATGTTGAAAAAATGACACGCATCAACTTTAGACTCCTTACAGTGAACCAGACACATGTAATATGTTACAAAAGAGGATAAATGTCCTTAAGTGTTTGATTTGTGAAACATCTGACGCTTACGTAACACTGTGTGCTCTGTTGAAATTTCCTCTTGTTCCCATTCCAGCTGCCAGCAGCCCTCTGGACAGCCCACGAAATGTGTCCACTGCTGTTTGCTCTCTCAACTTCCCTTTCGCCCGCAGGTAGACAAGCGCACTTTATATTTTTTTGTTTTGAAAAAAGTCAGTGTCGGGTTCATATTATAGTTCATATTATATAGAGTTGACTCATTTATTCTCATATGGATCTTTCTATATTGTAGACCTTACTAAGTCTGTTGCCTATTTTCTCTCTCTTCATCCCTCTTTTTTTCTTCTTAGCCACCTGGCTCGAGCTGACAGGTAGCCAATCTCTTTTTCAAACTATAATCTGGCCAAATCTTAATCCCTTTTATTTATTTCTGTGACTCTGTACTCTTTGGACACTACCTGTTATTATTTTGCATTGCTGCCATGCATCACAATGTATTCCCTTATACTAGGCATGTACTACACTGTTCCATTTATGGACATTAAAAAAAAAATAAATGATGCACTTGGGAAAGTTATATCTATATAAGTACACTTTATTTGGTACACCTGTAGAACTGCTTGTAAACGCAAGTATCTAATCAGCTAATCACAAGACAGCAACTCAATGCATTTAGACATGTTCAATCTGAGCATCAGAACAGGGAAGAAAGGTGATTTAAGTGATTGGCTGGTCTGAATATTTCAGAAACTGCTGATCTATTGGGATTTTCACTCACAACCATCTCTAGGGTTTACAGAGAATGTTCCGAACAAGAGTAAATATCCAGTGAGCCTCGAAAATGCCTTGTTGATGCCAGAGAAAGTTGAGCTGATAGAAAGTCAACAGTAAACCAGATAACCACTTATTATAGCTTAGGTCTGCAGAAGAGCATCTCTGAATGCATAACATGTCATACTTTGACGCAGATGACTTGCAGCAGCAGAAGACACACCTGTCAGCTTAGAACAGGACACTGAGGCTACAAGCACTGACTCACCAAAATTGGACAATAGAAGATTGGAAAACGTTGCCTGATCAGTCTAGATTTTTGCAGGATCAGAATTTGGTGTAAACAACATTGCCTTGAATCAATGGTTCAGGTTCCTGGTGGTGGTGTAATGGTGTGTGGAATATTTTCTTGGCACACTTTGGGCTCCTTTGTACCAATTGAATATTGTTTTAGTGGCACAGCCAATCTGAGTATTGTTGCTGACCATGTCCAGCCCTTTATGACCACACTGTATCTTCAGCCATCTTCTGATGGCTACTTCCAATAGGATAATGTGACATGTCACAAAGTTCAAATCATGGTGGTCATCAACTGGTTTCTTGAACGTGATGAATTCACACTAAACTCAAATGGCTTCCACAGTCACCAGATCTCAATCCAATAGAGTACCTTTGGGATGTGCCGGAACGGGAAATCCGCATCATGGATGTAGAGCCGACAAATCTGCAGTAACTGTTTGATGTGATCATGTCAATATGGACCAAAATCTATGAGGAATGTTTCCAGCATCTTGCTGAATCTATGGCACGAAGGATGCGAGGTGTACATAATAAAGTGGTGTGCGTGTGTCTTAATATATAAAAAGAGAGAGAATCACTTGTTGTGGTCTGACTAAGCGGCCACATACAGTTTTGAGTGATAGTGTATCATTCTGTCTCCTGAAGTTCTCTTTTTGTCTCCACAGAGTGGATGGGAGACGGTGGTCTCTGGCGTCACTTCCGTCCTCAGGCTACGGGACCAACCCTCCCAGCTCAACTGTCTCAGTATGTGGCTTTCATTTATCTACAATTCAAATTTTACAAATACAATTATGTGCTTAATGAACATAAATTGCATTTTGTTTGAAACAATGTGAGTGCGTATATAGTGACAATTGTCATTTTCAGCTGAAGTTTCTTTTAAAACCCTTTTATAGTGAAAGAGCAAATTTCTGCATACCTAGACATTTATTGATGGGATTAAGGATGGTTTTCAGTAAACTTGGGACTATTTTATATTAATTGCGGCCATGTATTTGACGATGCATTTGTTGTTTTGCAGTCATCTTCCTCATCTCAAGAACGACTTCACCAGCTTCCATACCAACCCACACAGGACGAGCTTCATTTCCTGTTCAAACACTTCCGAAGTTCGGAGAGCATAACTGATGAAGATGGGCGGCCCTCCCCATTTATACGACCCCGGTCACGTAGCCTTAGGTAAACAAAAACACGCATGCACCAATTCATTTCAGCATAGGATGCCAATATTTGCATCTTAAAAATATGGTTATTAATAGGGATTAATCTCCTTGAGTGGAGTTTTATGGTCTGACCTGGATTCATGAAAATCTTCTTAAGCAGTTAAGAACATTTTTAAGATAAAATAAGACATTTTTAAGAATGCTCCGAAGTGCAATTCATGTTAAAATAACTGTTTTAAAACAGCCCATCTCAGAAAGATGCAGTGGTTATTCCCATTCATTTGCACCTGTGTGCTGCCACGCTAGTTCTAGCTAGAGTTAATGCATCATATGCATTCACTCTAGTGATGTTTTCCTGGTCAATCGGTGTCACTTTAGGGTAATCGTCGACATTCCTGGAACTAGTAATATGTATTATAAGTAGCTAGTGTAATGTTGTAATCCCTAATATTTAATTAAACGTCTTATCTTTGGGGATTTAAAACTGGTTGTGGCATGGGTGTGAAACTCAGTTCCTTGGAGGACCACAGCCTTGCAGAGTTTAGCTTCAACCCTAATTAAACACACCTGTTCCAGTTAATCAAGTCCTTCGGGCTTATTTGAAAACTTCAGGGCCATTTCTCAATATGCTTCTTGTCTGTTTTTGTGGAGTTGTGAAATGTCATCAGTCACTGCCCAAGTACTGTTCCAATTCAAAGATTCATCTAGCCAAGTACTGTTTAAATCCCTGGATGTGTTCTTGCTCTGCTCCTTTTATCGAGGACGCATTGAGATGTGACTTTTGCGGACTTAAGTCAGCCGAGTATCCCAGAATGTATCTCGCACAAACCAGCAAGCGTCACTGGTGATCACTGGGCGCTCAGATGCTCATTAACCCCGTCTTGAACAGCCTTACGACAACAGCCTTGTCGATCTGAAGTTTGCCTCTGGCTCTGGTGCTGTAGTGGTTAAACATGAGATATCATTTGTCTTGTGTATATCTAACAGGCATTTAATATGTTTATTATTTTTAAAATGTTTTAAAATGGGTTGTTTATATATTTTGTTTCGTTGACTAAATACTGAGATAACCGGACTAGCCAGAGGGAACTTCTTAAGAACAGTTATATCCACATTGACGATAGCAGTGTGATCTAGTGGTGAGCATGCATTCTCTGGCATGTTGAGCTGTGGTGTTCGTGGTGGCTATTGGGGTTCGAGTCTGGCTTGCACAATTTAAATGACTAATCTGTGTAGTTGAAAATGTAATTTTGTTTGCACTTTTTTGTATGCTTTTTCTTCAGATTTCACCCAAATGTTCTGTCATTATTTACTCACTCATTCTGTTCCAAAACCCATTTGACTTTTTTTTTTCCATTGGGCACAAAGTACAAAATGTCAAGACTTCCCCTGCTCTTTTCCAAAAAACTTATTTAGACTTATTTATTATCTTATTTATTATTGTCAAGATTAAAATCTTGACATCCAGCCTAATTCATCCTGTATTAATGATCTTTTCGATTACAAATCGCACTTTGGTTTGATTTGGTTAATTATAAATGATTCATTATGGTCTGCAGCACTCTGCAGCTAACACAAAGCTACCATATGACTTCTAAAAACGAATAGTTTGAAAGACCATTTTTTTTGAAAATTGTATGGAGCTTTTTCTCCTTTTTTTTGAGCCCCAGTCCCCCTTTTATTATAATTGGATTGAAAGAATGACCAGAAAGGATGTCATATTGGTTTGGCATGGTATGAGGGTGAGTAAATAATGACAGGGTTTTCCTTTTTGGGTAAACTATCTGTTTCAGTGATGTATGTTGCAAGGCTTGCTGTCAGATGAGTGGACCCCTGACTAATAGGAATATCCAGGCTTTTCCCATCAAAACAAAAGGAATGTTTTTGTTGTGCAAAAGAAACTTCCTCGAGGCTGAGTCAGAAGAAATTTCACCACAGTGTAATTGAACACTGGGGTTTGAAATTTGCATCTGGCCAATTGAGGTTCAAGAGGACTATTCTGAAGTAGAAACTAAAACTAAAATCTGATGAAGGTTTTTGTTTATGTCGCCCATTCTGTGTGAGGCAGCAGTCTGTCGGTTTTGCTCTGCTGCTGTGCAACGCCTCACCTTTAGCTCACATCTCTGCAGGATTCAGAGGTTTAGATGTCCACCCACAATGCTTCACGCCTCAAACAGAAGCTCGCTCAATTGGTTTTTAAAGTAAAAGCAGTTTAGTTGGAATGATTATCAAAAAGGTTAAGTATTTAAACTGCAATCTACATGACAGAGGTTTTCATCTGTTCTTTTCCTTGTTTTAGCCCTGGACGAACTGGTGGCTCCTTTGATCATGAAATTATAATGATGAACCATGTCTATAAGGAGCGTTTTCCAAAGGTATGTGCGCCAAACTCCTTGAACAGATTATTACCTGTTTTTCCTCTACAAATCTAAGGTTTTGAATGTTCTCTCTGCTGTGCAGGCTACCGCTCAGATGGAGGAGCGTTTGCTGGACGTCATCAGGCACTTTTCCCCAGACAGCACCCTACCGCTGGGAGACGGAGTCCTGGGATTTATCCAGCACCAGTTGGTGGAGTTGGCCAGGGACTGTCTGGATAAATCCCAGAAGGGCCTGATTACATCTTTATACTTCATGGAGCTGCAGGATAATTTGGACAAAATGCTGCACGAGGTGAGGCGGGAATCTCTAAAAAGAACGCCTGATATTTCTAATTTATACAAGAACTGCATCACTTGATGTGCAGTGGACAGCTACGCTGACAGTAGATCCAGATATTTGTTTCCGTATGAGACAATTTGTTGATTTGGGGGGCGTGGCCTTCTGTACACATGTACAGAAAAGCTAAAAACAATTTAAAGATTATAGCGAAACAATGGCTACAATCACCTGGTCAGGTTTTTGGACAGCAATATTTACGGATAAGTATGAATTTCAAATTGTTGCATCTTGTCAAAACATAGTTTTTGAAAAGACGTTAGTCAGTCCCAGAACATTTTATCAACATATCTTTATTTATATATATATTTATTTCTTTTTTAAGTAATATTTCTTTTTAATGATTTTTTTTTATTTATTTTTTTTATAAGAATTTGTAATTATCATGTTTTTGGGTAGTTGCACCAATTACATTTTACAATCTGAACTAACCTTTTTATATGAAGCTTCAATTATGTATTATTGACTGTTGAATAGACTTGTTTATTTTGACACACTGTCTTGATTGCACCAGTGTGTTTTCACACCATTGTTCGCATGCAAACACTATACGAATGTAGCCATCATTCCCACTGTTAAATTATATACTACATTTATATTAATGCTACAGCAAATTCAAACTGTCTAGAGGTTTTTAGTATCAAGGCTTCATCGGGACGGCATTCTCGCACGGAGAAGAGCATTTACACAACATTTTAAGATGAAGAGGTGCTCTTTTGGTTTTCAACTGTGATGACTAATGTGCTCACTCAAGAATCAGACACTATTGCATTTTATATAGAACATTTCCCGTTATGAATTATGATATCACTTGGTTCGTTGGTCTGATTGCTTTCACACCTCAAGTTTGTTTGCAGTCACACCAAGACCACCTTGTTCAGGCGTTTTCGGAGCAATTGTTTTGGTGCGGATCCAATGGGCTCTATGCGCGGCGGTATTTCCGGTGAATGTGTAAGGATGCTCGATAACTTCCGCCGATCGTAGAGTCCAATGCAATACCGAGAATGTACATTAAATTTTTTACTCGATGTTTATACTAAAGAAACGATAGTCACAAAAACAGACAAAACAGACACCCCTCGTTGTGTTTATGCTTCTTTTAAAAATTATATTAAATAAACATAACTATATATAAAATTACATCTAAACGTTTGAAAGTTCCGTTTCAAAGACGGAAATACAATCAATTTTGAAGACTCAGCCATAATCCCGTTTTCCTCCGCTTTAATCTCCACAACTGGAAACTGAAGAGCATCCTTGCGTCAAATGCGTAACTTATGCGTGCATATAGCCTATTGCCGTGTTCACATATATGCCTAAGCGAACCAAACCAAGGGAGAACCGAAATGGAACGTTTTGTGCGGTTTTAATGTTTTGTGACTAACCAGGTGTGAAAGCACACTAAATTAAAGGAGAACTCCGGCACAAAATGAACCTTTGGTCTAATTACTCATTGGTACCTAGTCAACCGTTCTCTGAGATTTGTTTTCATGATAATCGAATGTAAAGAGTTTTATCTCTAAAAACTGTTTAGCGTATAACACCAGTATATGGGGGAAAATATGTAAAAAGAGAGTCCCTACATGCTAAATGAAGCATTGAGAACTTTGTAAGTGTACAGACTGTTCAATAAGAAGATAATTTATAAAGACAGTGCACTTCGTGTATACAGGCAGGAGCCTTCTTTAAACGCCGCCGTTCGTTCTCCGTTATTAAGGTCCCGGCAAGGCAGAACAGGAACATTGCAATAATAGCCTCCTCCATGCTGGTTTGTTGTTGTTGTATGTGGCCGCGCTATGTCTAGTGATAAAGACCGTCGCCGTGCTTGCGTTACCCCTCCTACCAGTTCCTATGGCCACTTGGCCAGTGCGAACGCAAGCAGCAAAACCGAGTTTGGGGGAGAGTAGTTCTTAGAACTGTTTAGAAGTCAACAATTCCTATAATTAAGTTCCTGTAACTACTTGGTCGGAAAGCGGCTATTTTGTCCAGGGAGATTCGGCCTGGCAATCTGGTGTAGGAGATTCGGTCTGGCAGTTATTGTACAGACTTCGACATGTAGTATGGTTCTTATAGCCGCTTTCCGACCAAGTAGTTATTGCAATGTTCCTGGTTCCTGTTCTGCCTTGCCGGGACCTTAATATCGGAGAACGAACGGCAGCGTTTAAAGATTATGCTTGAGTTCTGTACAGAGAAACACGGAAGACGACGGCTCCAGCGTAATATGATATTAAGTATGATGGAAGAAGATAAAAGTGGCGAGCGCAGGAGGCAAACAAAACGACGGGTAGCAATCAGCTGGTTGAAAGCGTCATGTTTGTCTTAATCCTCGTTGTAATGTTTTGCAAAAACACACAGCGTACGGCAGACAGCTCGCTACAAGTTCCATGTTGACAGTGGGCATGACGTTTAAGTTAAACCAATCAACGAAGACCTAGGGAAAGGGAGCTAAAAAAGTCCTCGCTCTAGACTAGGTACTGAAAGAGTTATAGGAACTACGGTCTGAGGAACTAAAAAATCCCCAATTTAGTCCGGTCCGAACACGAGAAAAAAAGGGTTATAGGAACGTTAGGTTCTAGGAACTGAAAAAGTCCCTCCGGTCGGAAAGCAGCTAATGTCTTTGTGGCAGAAGTTTAAATCAGGTTTGAGTTTGGTGGTGAGTCCTTTTCATAACTATATGAAGCCATATTCTGCTGCTTTGAAGCCGTATTCTGCCTGTTTAGCCACTGTCAACTTGGTAACGCTGGCCTTTTCTGATTATGCCAAAGTCAACGGGTGTTCTGAGATGGTGGTTGTGGTTTGGCAGGAATATCAGGTTGACAGTAACAACACTAGTGACAGAAACCAACACTGCTCTAATGTCAGTGTGCTGCCGCCGCTGGCTTTAAAGGGCCAGAAACATCACGCATTCGCAAAAGAGACTGACCACTTCCACTAATGAGTGTAAAATAGGCCTCATTCCCCATGGTGTTTTTACACTATAGGCTAAATATTTAAAAAAAAAATTTCACCTAGCAAGAAAGAGCATTTGTTAGCTGAGAGTTAGCAGCGTGTGCTCAAATTTGCATACATGTGAGTTTGCGAGCGTGTGTAATTGCCCGTGGGTTCGTGTTTAAATGTATGCGTACCCTTCAGCAGAGGTTTTGATTAGAAATATAGATCTCCCCGTTCAAGCTCCATGCTCATCTTTGCAACTACAGGGTGTTAGTTTCCATAGCAACGCTTACGCCCACCCTGTATGTAGTGTTCAGACAACCCCAGGCAAGACTGTCAGATCGCTGCTGTGCAGTGGATGTCGTGCTCATAGATAAGGCTATTAAAGTGTTTCCCACTTCCCTTAGTCAGCGGTGCCAACACAGGCCCCTGGTGCCGCAGTCATGCCGCAGTTTAACTGTTCTAACCATTCAATCATCAAACTGTTGTGATTAATAGTCAAATCCTGCTGTTTTGTGTTGGTATGTGGTTACATCGGTCTGCTCCACACTGATTCTCTGTCACTCTCTGCTCTCTTCTGGGATCTGAAAGTCTTTGTTGGTTTACTGATATGTTGCAGAGGTCATATAAGGGCAGGTTGACCAATGGCTGAAAAAAGATGTGAACAAAATGAAAAGTTTATCTATAAACGGTGCTGTTGGTAGATTTGAAACTGCAGGAAGAAACTTATCAGCCGTGACCAATAATATTAAAAGGGACCAATTTTGGCTGATATATTGGGCTGTGACTACTTTAAACATGTTGTGTTAATGCAGTCTGTTATTACAGTATATGGGAACCCTATTCTGCCACTCAATCATTTTTTAAATGAAAGTCAATTAAATAATGTCTAAAGTGTATAAATAGTCTATAATGTAAATAGATAGGTGCAAATGATCTGAAAATATTTTGCATATGATAATAAAGAATACAGTTTGAATAAAATATGTATTATTTAAATGTTATAAAGTACTTTGTTTATCTTTACTGTTTGTAAGAAGTAATTTGTAAATATCAATATGGTTTATAACTTTGTATTAGATAATAAATCTTAATAAATTAGTAAAGCTATAACATTTATTTCCAGGGTTAAATTTGTATTTTCAGACTTTTTTTTTTTACAAATTCCTTTTTTTTTTTTTTTTTTCTGAATTTCTGAAATAATAAAACGTAGTTTAATAATAAACGTAGTTTAGGTCCTACTTATGAAATGTTTTATTTTTGTTCCCAAATTAATTTAAATTTTTTCTGAATTCATGAAATCATCAAATTAAACAACAATTTATTAAAAGTTTAAAAAACTAACTACATTTCTGGGCCCTGATGAAATGTTTTATTTTTTCCCAAATTACGTTTTCTGATTAATTTTCGAAGTTTATAATTTTCTCTAATAATTATTGAATCTCAGAGTACCCCATGTTATGCATGGCCCTTGATCATGAATAGATTGTAAATTTTGACATCTATGCTCATGTAAACAAGGAGTCAGACAACCTAAAGCTGGGAATCATTATAAAGCTCCGTGCTGCAGGGGCACAAGTCACATTCAAGTCTGAGCTAGAGAGAGAGAGCGAGAGCGAGAGAGAGAGACTCGCTGGCTGGCTGCAGTGCTAAAAAAGGAAACAGTTCATTGTTTTGATGTGACGGTTCGTGTCGAGTTAGAAGCATCCATGTTTCCCTCACACCCCTCTTGCAGTGGCATTTGACTGTCTACGAAACATGAGTCACACATCTTATCATGCTATGAGGCTCTTTAATGCTGATTTGATACCATGTCTCCCTCACTTTGTTCAGCTTCATCAAATGCATGAAAATGCAGTAATTTTAGTTTGTCGTAGGAGTCGCCTGACCGAGCTTGATCCCTTGTTTACTCAGCTTTTCACCTAAACAACCTTACGCGAGGAGACAGCAGCTCAAGACAGATTAAACTGTTTAATGTGCTCTGTCGCAGACTCTTGTTTTTGGAGATAATATCTGAATGTTTC